CAGCGCATCGGCGCCGCGCTCGGCGACGGCGCGCAGCGTGTGGGCGTAGGCGGTGCGGCGGATGGTGTCGCCCTCCTTTTTGAGGAGGCCCGTGGCCGGGTCGACAAAGATGTCGGACCAGGCCCGGTCGTCGTACATGAACTGGCCAAACAGGACCAGGCGGCGCGCCAGCTCCTTTGACACGGTCGTCTGCTCGGCCAGGTGGACGCTGGGCATGACGAGGCGCTTCCACGGCAGCCGGCCCCAGCGGCGGTGCGCCTCTTGGAGGCCGCGCAGCTCGCCGGGCACGCCGACCGAGAGGCCGCCGAAGCGCGCCTGGTCCATGCGGCCCTCGTACATGGTCGTGTTGGCGGCGGCGGGTCCCGTCTCGCGGAAGTCGATTGACGTGTAGCTGGCGCACCGACCGCGGGCCGACGTGCCGTCGTCGCGATGCCCGGCGCTCGTGGTCCCCTTTGCGTCGTTGCACCCGGTCGGATCGCGGACGAGCATGAATCCGCCTCCTCCGATGCCGGAGCTAAACATGTTGAGCACGCCCGTGCAGAGGGTGGCGGCGACGGCGGCATCGACGGCCGAGCCGCCGTCGCGGAGCGCGTCGACGCCGATGCGGCTGCACACGACGTTTTCGGCCGCCACGGCGCCGCGCCTTCCCTTTGCGAGGAAGGCCGGGTGCAGGCGGCCGCGCTGGTCGGAGCCCGGCGGAAAGTGCGAGGGCGGTGCGTCGCGGAACTCGTTGGAGATCTGGCGCAGCACGAGCGAGACGAGGATGGCGCTGAAAAAGATGGAACCGAGGATGAGGACCGTCGACTTGCGCTTGCTCGCGCCGCCGCCGCCGCCGCCGCCGCCGCCGCTGAGGTGAGGGGTGCCGGTGCGGGAGCGCGGGCGTGGAGTCGGCGAGGCGGGGGTGATGAGCGGCGTCGTCTCGTCGCCGCGGCTGGCTTGGGTCGCCATGATGGGCTGGGCTCAAAGCGGCGCGAAGAAGCGTCGACGGCGGTCGGGATGATGCCGGCCCAAAGGGGAAGGGGGAATATGGACGAAAAGACTTGGATGAGAAGACAAGGCAGGGAGGAAGGATCACCATGCGAAGACAACGACGACGACGACGACGACGGCCGAACGTCTTCGACCCTGGCTGCATCCGCCGCGGCAAAGGGGCCACGGGATTTGCCGGCGCGCGCCTTGTCTATCTCCGGCTCGACGGATCGGTCGGCAAGCAGCCGGCGTACGAGGCCTGGCCGTCGAAACCTCGGTCTCGTTGCCCGGCACGGCGTGGCTTGCAAAGTCGGACAGGACCCGACGGTGACCCCTTCCAGCATCGTCGGAATGGCCCCGAGCACAGCAGCGCACGGCCTGGCAGTCTGTCGATCTCAGCCTTGCGAGCCCATCGGCTGGTCGCCGACACCATTATGGGGGGCCGCTTCGGAACAGGCCGACGGCGGCGGCAGCGGATCGTCGTCATTAAACCAAACGCAGCCGCCTGCACGCCTGCCTCGCCCAAGACGGACGTGCGCCTGCAAAGGCCGGTCATGTTGGATGGCCGCCTTGCCGTCCGGCGTCGGTGTGGAGGGACTGGCCTGCCCATCGGGCTGCCTTGAAAGTTGACTGGATCGGTGATGGAATCGCTCGGACCCCTTCTAGGACGAGGGCCGGTCCTGGCCTGGAAGGCAGGCGGCGAGCGATGGAACGACGTCAACGGCGGCCCCGGCCAATCTTCGCGGACCTCCGCTCCGCCCCGGCTCGCTCGCTCACTCCCTCACTCGCGTTGGCACCACCTTGCTTCCGCCCTCCTTTCCCCTCGTCATCCTCGCACGCAGCGCAGCTTCCACTTCCATCCCCGTCCCGCATCCACACCCGCGCATCCCCGTCGCCTCACCATGTCGCTCCTCTTCCGCACCGCGCCCATCGCCGCGCGCACCACGGCGCTGCGCTCGTCGTACTCCAGCGTCGCAGGTACCGCCGCATCGGTCGGCTCCTCGGCCGCCGGGCAGGTGGCCAAGTCGACGGCATCCGAAGCCGCCACGGCCGCACGCTCCACCGCCTCTGAAGCCACCACCGCCGCGCGCGCACACGCAAAGGAGGCAAAGGCCGACGTCAAGTCCGCCGCTGCCTCCGTCACACCCTCGGCTCCCATCGTCGTCGGACGACCCACGGTCCGAAGGCCCGTCGTGAGTTGAAGTGGCACAGCATCCCGGACGCACGCCGTAAGGTCCAGAGTCTGGCGCTTGACGTCCACTGACACTACTGCATTTCTTTGGATGGGTGTTTCGGTCGCGCAAACACAACGACAGGCCTCGGTCCGCGGCGGCCTGCTCGGATTCCTCCTCGGATTCGGCCTCGCTTCGGCATACGGCTACTACTACCTCCTCAAAGAGTACAACGCCGCCTCCAACCTCATGCTCGCCAGCGTAGAGGAGCTCCAGGGAAGCACTGAAAAGGTGAGCCGGCCCCTCTCCCTGTCCCCGTCCCCGTCCCTCCTCTGCCCACGCCAGACCTCGTCTGACCCCGCGACGCGACTCGATCCGCTCCTCGACCAACCTTGCCCTACTCTGCTCTGCTCTGACGTGCTCTGGTGCGCGGACACAACAGATCACGAGCCACCTGGCGCGTCTCAACAAGCTCGAGGCCGACATCAAGGCCCTCTCCAACTCGTCGGTCACGCGCGCCGACGCCGACAAGTCGCGCGTCGAAATCAAAAAGATTGTCGATGGCCTCCACTCCGAGGTCGAGGACATCCGAAAGAGGGTCATCGGTATGTCTGTGGCCCCCCGTCTTCTTCTTCCTTGTCGCCTCGTGCCGTCGTCGTGCTGCCCCTTTGATGCTGGGATACGGAAGGCAAGGACGGGAAATGCTGATTCCCTTCCTGACCCCCCTTGTGCCCCCCCACTTTGATTCTCTTCTTGTTTCGCCCTTCTCCGCCCCGCCTCACCCCCCTTCAGACCTGCCGAGACCTACCAAGTACATGCAGTAGGATCGAGGTGGTCTAGAAGCGGCAGCAGCGTTGGAGCAGGACCCAACGACCGAAACACGGAACCCGCGCGACTGTTTTCGAGATCCCATCTCCCGCGTCTTCCGTCGACGGGCGATGCGATGCGGTGCGGCACGCCTCCCAGCCAGCCAGCCAATCGACACTGCGATTTCCATCTCCATCACGAGCCTGGACTCGATATAGACGACGCTGAAACGCACGCTTGCACGTCACGGTGCACTCTTGACTCGCGCGCGCAACGTTGGCCCCGCCTCGCCTCGGTCAGAAGACGACGACACCGACCACCGAACCGTCCCTGCCCACTTCGAGCACCAGTCCTGGCCTCGCGACCAGCTCGGTGCTCAGGTCCAGCTTAACGAGCGAGTCCCTCTCGTGCTGCCCCGTCCCCGTCCTCTGCCCCTGGCCCATCGCCGCGACCCCATGCACTGCATCGTTCCCTCGGTCGCGGTACGACGCGTCGAACGATCCAAACGTGCCCATCACTCCCCCTCCCCCTGCCCCTGCCCCTCCGCTCACCGCCAGTCCCGCGCCGCCGCCGCCGACATTGCTTCCGACGCTACCGCCAATCGTATCGTCGCCGACCATGCCACCACCGCCAGCGATGCCGCGGTGGAGCTGACCTTCCAGCCCGCCGTTGAACTCGGCGCACGTGCCCCGATCCAGCTCCATGCTCGGTCCGTCCACCGCGTCGTCGACCGCTGAAGCTCCGCCCTGGCGACTCGCGTTCGTCGCTGCTGCCTTGGTTGGCGACGACGAAGTGGAAGCGGAAGCGGGTTTGATCCTGGCTGGCGCGGCTGTCGTCGCTCCTGGCTTGAAGTCGTCTTCGAAGCCATAGAGCACCTTTGTCGTCGTCGTCGTCGTTGCGGACGCTGACGCCGTGGTCTCGGCAGCTCCGCCGCCACCCTTCTGCTTGCCCGCCTTGGCTTCTTTCGCATCCTCGCTGGACTCGTTCCTCTGCACCTCGACAACCTTCCAGGGACACCGGTTGTACCGCTGGAAGAGCGCATCGCCCGCCACGTTCGTGTGGCACACAACCTTTTCCAGCCGCGCCTGGCCCGTCGTGGTCGCCAGGTGGGCGGCCTCGATCGAGCTGGCCACGTCGGCTCGGCTCGAGAAGAGGAGGTCGATGCCGAGGTCAAAGTAGTTGTAGAAGAACGGCGAGTCTGCGGGGCGAGCCAAAGAGGTGAGCTGGATGTCAGCCCTCGTTCGGCACCAGGATCTCTCGTCGTGGGCCCTCACGCTACGCACCGCCGTCCGACGAGCCATCTTGGGCATCGTCCGTAGCGCCCATCGCATCGCCGTCGAGGTCGTCGGGCGGGAAGGAAATCGCTTCGGCACCGCCGCTACCCCGACCGCCGGCGTGGATCCTCATGCGGTCATCCTCCTTGTAGAAGACGCGCTGCGGTGCGCCGAGGTCGCACACGGCGTCCTGGGGCGTCGTCACGCCGAGGAGCAGTTCGACGACAGTCGACGCGACGTGCGCCGCTGCGGAAGAGCCGTTGCCGCCTTGCAGCTTGGTGGATGCGGGCGGGAGTGGCGAGGCGGTGCGGGATGCCGAGCCGCGGGCAAAGTGCAGCGTCATGCCCCGGTGCGGCTCGATGACGGCCTCGAGCAGAGATGGAGCCCGGACGTGGATCGCCTCGGGATCCAGGGCGGCTCGGTCGGCCTCGGAAAGCGATCCTGCGCCCGGATCGGAAAAGGTGGGCGACAGTGCTCCGCCCCTGGTCCTGCCAGATGACGGTGAGGCGAGGCCGGCGTGAACCGCCTGGTGGAGCGCAAACGGCGACAGGATGACTTCTTCCGGTTGCGCAGGGCTCGAGCCGTTGAAGACGTAGATTGTCGAGACCGGGTGGTGCTTGTCTGCGATCCAAACAGATTGGTGTGCAAGAGTGAGCTCGAGATGCCGTCAGCGGTGCGTCTTGTATGGAGGCCGAGGTGGCGCTCAAGGACAGAATCTCCCATCTGTGGCTAGCTCACCGATCTCGCCCTCCCTACCGCCGGCACCGTGCGGCTTCTTGACAAAGGCAAACGCCACACCTGGATAGCCCAGCACAAACTCGTCGACATCCTCCTTGGCTGCGGCCTGTGCAGTGGCGGCTGGTCTTGCAAGCTCGGCAAGGTACGGGTTGGAGCGCTTTTGGGTCCAGCCGGGATAGGTGGGGCCGAGGAGCTGTTGGAGGGCCGACCTGGTCAGCGTGCTTGGCGCGCCACCGCCCGTCCCAGCCGCAGAGGCGTAGATGGTCCTGCCATTGTACACGACGCTGACGGGGCGATCTGCGGGGTCTGGCTCTGCGACGTTTGGTGCGAGGCGGTCGAGTGTGATGACGACGAGGCGTTGGGTGACGCCGCTGAAGATGAGGTTGAGGTAGGGCTCGACCGAGACGACGATGGGAGAGAGGCGCGGGGAGTGCTGGTCGAATGCGATGTTGACGTGAGGGAAGAGGCTGTGGTGGGAGCGGAGGTAGTCGATGGTGTGCCAGAGCGAGAGTCCGAGCTTGAACGGGCCCAGAGAGACGGATGGACGCAGGGCAAGGGTGAGGCGCGGGCCGGATGGCGCGACGAGGGGCGAGGAGCGGCCGCGGAAGCTCGACTGGGCCGAGTGGGGCGGGATGGGACTCGACATGGCGGTGGCGGCAGCGACAGCCGTTGGAGGGAGAGAGATTGGTGAGTGAAAAGCGGTGGCGTTGAGCCAGGCTGGCAGGGTCAGACGAGGGTATCCCCGCGCGGATCAGTCGGTGTGCTTGGGCTGGGTAGTCGTCGACGAGGGCTGCGGCAGCGGCTGAGGCTAGAAACACGGCAGTCGCGTTGCTGCTGTCTGGCTTGGATGGGCAAGGAGTGGTGATCTCGAATGCAGGCAGGCCGATGAGGTCGAGGAGGGGAAAGGAGGAGGAGGGCCAACCTCCCCCCCCTGACTCTGGCTCCCCCAACCCACCTGGCCTGCTGGCTAAGCTTGACCCTGCCAGATAGACCCTGCCAGAGAGAGCCCTTCAGGGTCCACGACCGCCCAGCCGGCTGCACGTCAGGCAGCTCAAAGCACGCCCTCGCCTGAACCGTGCATCGCCTGCGCCGCCGAAAACATCAACACCACCTTCTCTCCACACCACCACCATCTTCGCCTTAGTCGCGACCACTACCACCACCACTAGACAGCCACCAAGCACCGTCAGGCTACAGGCAGGACAGCACGATGAAGGTCAAGGTCAAGCAGTGGAACGCCGTGGCCTACTGGCGTGAGTCTCCCTCCCGTCCCGCCCGTCCGGGCTCCTTTTCTTTCGCCACCGACTGACTGACAGCCCATCGATGCTTGCATACTACTTCCGCCAGTCTGGGACGTGCGGGATCCGGACGACATCTGCGGCATCTGCCAGAGCAACTTTGATGGCGTCTGCGGATCCTGCAAGGAGCCCGGCGATGGCTGCCCACTGCGTGAGCATCCCCTCTGCTCCCCTCCTCATCTGGCTCCGAATAGCGCTCGAGTGGATCTGCGACGCACGGCTCGGCTGATATCTGACCACACCCCGAGCAGTCTTTGGCAAGTGCTCGCACGAGTTTCACCTGCACTGCATCATGAAGTGGCTCCAGGACAACGAGGGCTGTCCCTCGTGCCGCCGACCATGGGGTGAGTAGCCCCCCGCCCGGCCTGCCTGCTCAGATGGCCTAAACAGTCGTAACCGGCCTTGGGCTGACCCGCTTTTTCTTTCCTCTTTCTCACTCCATATACCACCCCTACCACCCGCGCAGAGGAGGTCGAGGGCTCTACCATCACGGCCTCGGAAGCGCCTGCGACCCAGACCGCCGCCTAGCATCGCGTCACCCCTGCGCTCCCCTCCCCCCGGCCTTTTCCGGCCTCGCCTCGCGCCGCTGTACTTGTAAGATCCGCCGTGTACCACCAAACCCGCATAATTCAACGCCCGCTCGCACCCTGTCGCCACTCCCTTTGACGAGAGACAGGCAGCATGCCGTCCCTAGCCACGCCTCTTGCAGATGCTGCCCGCTCGCAGAGGAATGGCGCCGAGAGAACTCAAGCAGGCCAGGCAGCTGCTCCAAGGGCAGATAGAGGCCGTTTCCCGGCCTAGTCTCCTGGTCAGTTTGCCCCCACTGCGTCCTCGATGCATCAACTGCTGGTCTTGTCGAGATCGCACACTGCCCCTTGCTCAATTTGCTTTGCATTGTCATGTCAGTCGGTCACGCTACGACCACGCGGCGACACACCGCTCAGCATCCACCACGCCTGGCGGTGCTCCAAATAAGAATATCACTGGCGCCACGCCCACACAGCCGTGAGGGTGTTTCCCGCCATCAGCCCGGCAACGGCGGCGGCGATGCAGGGGAGGGGGAACGTCTGCCACTGCCGCTCCCAGTCGAGCGCGAGCGCGGCCGTGCCCAGCGTGGCGGCGGTGCTGAGCACGGTCACGGCAGGAACCACGAGCGGCAGGATGGCGGGGTGGTGCGCGATGTCGAGCGTGACAAGCTGCGTCCACAGCAGGTGTTGTTCTCCACCCTGCCCCGATGCGCTCGGGGCGGAAGTGATGCCATTCCTTGGCGTCGCAGAGGAAGATGGCGACGGCAACGAGAGGAACGGCACGCCCAGCACGTGGACGAGCGGCAGGCCTACGAGCAGCGCCAGGTAGCACGAAAGCAGCGTGGTGCTCTTGAGGGCCGACACTGGCGCGCCAAAGAGGATGACGACCACGTTGAAGAAGACGACGAGCAGCGGCAGCGAAAAGATGGACAGTGCCACGTCCTGGTGCGACGTTGGGCAGAACGGTAGACGGAGCAAATGCGAGGGGTGAGCATGTGGAAAGAAAGGGCAAGATGGCCGCGCGCCGGAAAGAGACACACACCTCGACGTCCCTTTTGCCGATGCGCTCGTCGCCAGGCTGACCGTCGGCGGCAGCAGCAGCCTTGATCTTTGACGACGATGCAGAGGCAGCGACTTGTTTCTCGGTTGGGGCAGGCTGCTGCTGGGTGGCTGCGCGGCACCACCTTGCGATGCGGGTGCACCACCAGCCCTGGACGACAAAGACGGCGACGAGGGCCTTCCAGGCTGCAGTGACGAGGACGGCGCCGTCCGTGGCAGCGAGCCTTGCGGCGTACTTGGAGGCTATCTCGGTGTCGGCGCTCTGTGCGTGTGGCGGGTCTGCGAGGAGCGGAGATGCGATAAAGAAGGCGGTTGCGAGCAGAAAGACGGGCTGGAGGGCGAGGATGATGGTGAGGTTGAGTCGGTTGGGTACGCGTGGCGTGGATCGGGTTGCGGCGGCAGAGCTAGGGGGCATTGCGCCAGCACCTGAAGGCGGAGGGATGCGTCGAGCGTGGCGAGCCATGGTTGCGGATGCGTGCGGCGGTGGTGGTGGTGGTGGTCGAGAAGAAGAAGAAGAAGAACGAGGACAAGGCGGGCTGCCGGTTGGCTGCTGCCCGTTGGGCCGTGCGCCGTTTGCGTGTGTTTTCACAGCGCCTCCACACGCGCGGGGGCCGTTGGCTGAGTTTGGCTGAGCCCTTTTGGCCGCCTCCTCGCTCCTCTCGCTCCTCTCTCTCGCCTTGCCTCTCTCGCCTTCCTTCCTTCCCTCTCTTTCCTCTGCATCCCCGGCGTCGCTCCCGCTTCAACCATCGACCCGCCACGCCATCGGCAACGCAGCGCGAGGTCCGGGCTTCTGATGCCAGCCTAACCGGCATCCTCGCGCCGCCTTGACCATGCACAACCGTTCGGCCCCCAGCCGGCCCACCACGCGCCTGTCCTCTTGCCACCCACCTATCCCTCTCTCAGCACCGTTCACGTCCAGTCCGGCTTCCACGGCATCAGCACCGCTCGGCCCGCCACCGCAGGCACCCCTTCGCTCTTCGTCTTCAAGACGGCCGGAGCGCAATGGCGTCCCACCCGCCAAGGACATCTTCAAGACACCCACCCTCGGTATCACCACCACCATCAAGCGAAGGCTCGTCATACGACCTCTCAAGCCGCGATGCGAGCAGTCCCATTCGCGGCCCGATCCTTCTGCTGCAGCAGTGAAGATGACCACTGACGCAGCGGCTGGCCCCTCTGTCGCACTCAGCCGACCCGGTCTCGAAGGGCAAAGCAACCTCGCCGAGTCGGTCCCGAAGCCCACACCCGTGCCCTCGTCCACCACCACCAAGGCGCGGGACACGCAGGCACAGCCCGTTTTACCCTCACATACCATCATAAAGCCGGCTTTGGCTGCGCAGCGGCTCAGCGCTGCACCGGCAATGCCCGCCACCAGCCTCGTCCAGGCTGCCTCGGCCAGCAGCAGCACACGTGCACCGTCACTACAACTGCCGGCAAAACCCAAGCCCATCAAGATCGTTCCGGGAGAGAATCGGCCCCCACCTGCGGCAGCCACGGCAGCCACGGCAACCACGCAAAGGAGAGGCAAGGGCCGCAGTAACAAGTCGTGGACCGACCAGGTGGCTGCCAAGCTTGGTCAGGCGGGTGCGCTGGCAATACCCGCCCCAAGCATAGACCGAGCCACCGAGCTCATCCAGCACCGATCCACGCAGTGGCAGGCCGTACCTGATGACCAGGCGGAGGTGGTATCTCTGCCGATCAAGCCCACGCCCACAGCCAGGAGGTCTGCGAGCCTCGGTCGCAAGCGCAAGTCAAGCGAGCTAGCCAGGCCACCGTCGCCGACCTGGGCAAACAGAAGCACCAGGGAGGCCAAGGTGATCAAGCTCAGCGAGCTCGTGCGGCAGCTCGAAGAGGAAAAGAGGGAGCTCGAAGGGTGGGAGCAGAGAGGCCCCGACATCGAGGCCGGACGCGTGCCCGGCATGGCCGCCGCGAGCTGGCCGACCGCACCCGGCAAGAGCATCAAGGAGGCCAAGGTCATGAAGCTCAGTGAGCTCGTGACGCAGCTCGAGCAAGAGGGCAGAGAGCTCGACGAGACGAGGCAGAGAGCCGCGGAGCTCGAAGCCGGGCGGGTGCCTGGCATCGCGAGCATCACCTGGCCGAGCCCGTGGACACAGCAGCATCACGGCGCCGGCTCGCCAAGCTCAACCTCGTCCGACCGCCTCGGGTCACCGCACGCCAAGAAGGCGAGGACCGATGCCCAAGGCGACCCGCACGGCGCCGCCGACTCGTCCGTCGCGACGTCGGCGCGCCTGCACGCCCGACGGATGAACTTGGTGGCCAAGCTGCTCAAGGACGTGCCTCTCTTTACCGACCGGTGCCTCGAGTGCGACAAGCCGTCGCCGCGCAGCTGGTCGAGCTTCAGCTGCCCGCACTGCCCGTCTGTGCGGCGGCGGGACGAGACGTTGGACCTCGACGCTGCGCTGCCGCCCCCGCGCATGGAGATCGCCTACACGGGTTTCCGAGCCGACCTGGGCGGTGCCTGCATTGCGCTTGGCGATGTCACGGGGTCCAAGGTGGGCGGCGTGGTCCGTGACGGGCGTGACGATGAAGAGGGCGAGGGCGAGGGTGACGAGGTCGAGGGGAGCTGCACGCGTCGGACGTGGAAGACGTGGGACGACGGCGTGACGACGTGCGAGTACGAGATTGCCGTCCGGGCCGGTGGGATGCCGTTCGAGGGCGACGGCGAGCGTCGACGCGAGAGCCAGAGCGGGCGGCGGATGAGCAGCGTGGGCGTACGCCACGCGCTCCCGCCCCATCGCCAGCCCATCGATGCCGACGACGGCCGGCTGAGCTGGGAAGAACGCAAGAGGAAGCTGCTGCACGACCTCGTGGCGCCGCAGATGGGCTACGTGCTGCAGACGGCACCGCGGTGCTTTTCGCTGCGTTTCGCGCCCGGCGGCGGCGAGGTGGATCGGGATGCGTTCGCGTCCCTCCTTCCTCATCCCCCATCATCGGCGGGGACAGGATCGACACGGGGGACGTATACAGACGACGACGGCGAGGACGAGGGGATGCCAGAATGCCTCTACGATGCGTGCGAGTACATCAACGACCTCGTCTCCCGCTCCCCCTTTGTCTCCCGCCGCGACACCTCGGACCGCGGTACGACGCAACCCTACTTTTGCGCCGGCACCGTCGTCGTCGGGTACGATCTCAAGATGGTTTTCAACACCAAGATCCTCCCCTCGCTCTCGCTCTCCCCCTCCTCGTCGATCTACGTGGATGAGGGGCCAGGAGGAGGGGGGAGGTACATCGGGCTGCTGTCGCTGGGCAGCCCATCGACATGTGCCGTCCACCTCCTCCCGCCATCTCCTCATCATCGTCGTCCTGCTGCTGGACCGACGACGAAGAGACGCATGACAAAGGTCCCGACGTCGTCTTTTGGACCGCCCTCCTTGTCTCCAACGACAACGACAACGACGACGACGACGACGACGGCAAAGACGAACCCTAAACCGGTGCTGTCGCTGTGCATGTCGAGCGGCGACTGCATCAACCTCGAGGATTCCCTCTGGAGCCGCTGTCAGGTCTCGCTGTCGGCGCGGGGCCTCGCCGTCTGGATCCTCTTTCACTCTCCCGCAGACGCAGACGCAGACGCAGACGCTCCTCCCTAGCACTCGCAGTCAGACGACGGGAGAAGGGAAAGGGGCTCCTTGTTCCGCCTGCGGCCTTGTCTTTGGCTGCTATTTGTCAGTCGGGCTAGCAGGCGGACGCCTTAAGTATGTACATACATGGGCTGGGTCGGACGGAGGCTAGAGGCATCGGAGAGGGAGGGGCGAGCGGCGACTGTATGTAGAGCCGTGGCAGCGCGGCGCAGCGAGGCGACGTTGCGCGAGAATGATTCCCCGGCTAGCCGCCCGTCCTTGCATCGCACGCGGCCGGCGAGCGGGCTATGGGGGGGCAGGCCGAATATACCCTGTTCTGCGATGACCGCCCGTCGGCCGCCTAGAGACGGAGCTCGCCGAGGTTGGGCGCCTTTGAGTGGGTAGGAGTTGGGGGTTGGCTCGGGTAGGGGCTGGGCGTGGGTGCGGGTTCAAAGAACTTGAAGCGGAGGCGGTGGAGGATGGGGAGCTTGGGGAAGAGGACGAAGAGGAGTGCGGAAAAGTTGAGGCCAAACAGCCAGGGGTTGTAGCGGGTGTAGTGGGTGGATACGAGAAAGAGGCCAATGGGGACCGAGGTGAGCCACTTTTTGGCGGGCGTGTACTGCGCGCCCTCGTCGATCTGCTCCCAGAGGGTGAGCTGGTCGTAGGCGCCGGCGTTGCTCTCAAAGGGGGTTCCGGTGACGTAGTGGAACATGAGGTAGGAGAGTGCCATGTAGCCCAGGTTGACGAGGGTCCAGCTGGTGTCCTGCTGCATGGCGGGGATGACGTCGATGAGGATCTTTGCGACGAGGATGAGGACGACGTGGATGACCCAGGCGCCCTTGTAGTTGACCCAGTCGGCGTTTGCGTTGAAGCCGGCGCTCTGGTCGAGCATCTCCTCGTGCGTCTCTTCGACGCGCTGCACCGAGACGAGCGAGCCGGAGCGGGTGCGGCCGTGCGGCGGCCGCCGGGTGGCGGTGGTGGGTGGTGGCGCCGCTGCGCCCGCGAGGCCGGGCAGAGACGACGACGTCGATGCCGTGGTGGTGGTGGCTGCTGGGTAGCTGGATCCCGGTGGGCTGATGTGGAGCGAGGGGAGGGGAGAGGCGTCGTTGACGACCCGCTCCGGCGGGAAGGTGTAGGCCGACGACGACGACGCCATGGCGGCGGCGGCGGTCCAGACGGGGTGGAGCTGCGGGGTGGGCCCGGGCGAGGAGAAGAGCGAGTGCAGGTGCCAGTGGCCGAGTTGAGCGAGCGCCGGTGATGCTATGGGATGGGATGGCAGCGGGAACGCCTGTATGATGGTGGTGGCAAAGGTGGAGGGAGCGAAGGGGCCAGGCAACGTCGGAAGACAAAGGTGCAGCGTGCGACTGCCGTCTGCCTGCCTCGCTGCTCCCTCTCTTGCTTGTGTCTGTCTGTGCGGCTCTCTGAAAACCGGCTTGCCTAGCTGCCGAGAGAGCCACAGAGAGCCAGACAAGGGCCGGCCGTCCAGGCGTACCTCAACGGGCTTGCCATGGCTGGCCCTAGCCTGGCCCTAGCCTGGCCCTGACTGTGCCCTTTTCCTCTCCTCGCTCGCTGGCTGCGCTTGCGCGCGGGCCGACTGGCTGGCTGGCCGCTCATCCGACTTCCGAAGCTTGGGCGGCCCCTCGGCTCGAGATTTTTTTCGAGTGGCAGGCGTGGCAGGCCCCTGGCGGGCGGCCAACACTTCGGGCAGCTGGAATTTTTTCTCCTTCTTGCCGGGTTGGGATGGGATGGGAGGGTCACGGCGCGGGGGCAGCCAGCTCCTCCGGACCCATCATCATCCCCACCTGCTCCCCCTCTTCACTCCCACGCACAGACGGACCCACCGACACACACACACACACACACGCACGCACGCCCGCGCCCGTATCGTACGCTCGCCGACAGCCTCTCGCCAGGCAAGGCCGCGCAGAGCCACCATGTCGCACCACCACCGCGCCTCGACCCTGAGGCAGTCCAACAAGCCCTTCAAGTCGCGGCACTCGTCCAAGTCGGCCCTCAAGGAACAGTCAAAGGGCCGCGCAGCCTCGGCGCAGGACGGCGGCGCATCCAGAGCTTCGTCCCACAAGTCGTCGCCCCTCCTCTCGGCCGCCGGCAACGAGTCCGGCAGCCGCCAGCACAGAAAGAACCTCGCAAAGCAGGCCCAGAACGCAAAGCGCGCCGCACTCGTCCAGTCCAACCGCGTATTCACCGCATCAGCACCGGGCGCACCCGCCTCCGCAGCCGCACTCGACGCGGCCGGCGGCCTCGCAAAGGGTTTCGCAGGCGCAGGCGGCGGCGCCCCGCGCATCTGCGCCGTCGTCGACCTCACCGAGGACGGCGATGCCTGGGACGCAGTCAGGCGCATCGAGCACGAGGGTGACGAGGGCGGCGTAAAGCCCGTCGACGGCAGGAGCGTCGCAGACGCACTCCAGGCCCAGCTGCCCTTTTGCGAGCTCGAGGCGCTCCGATTCCGCCAGACGATCCAGTTCCTCCCCCTCCCCTACGGCGCACTCTACCCCATCCTCGACGCCTGCAAGTGCGCGGACTTCGTCCTCTTTATCCTCTCGGCATCCACTTCCATCGAGCCGGGCTCCTGGGGCGAGCTCTGCCTCCGCACGCTGCAGGCACAGGGCCTCCCCACCTCCCTCTTTGCCGTACCCACCCTGCTCCCCGACGGCGCATCGGGCGTCGGCGGTTCGAAAAAGGCCGGGCCCACGCAAAAGGCGGCCAACGAGGCGCGCAAGAGCCTGCTCAGCTTCGCGCGCTACTTTGCCCCCGACGCGGACAAGGTCCACGCCCTCGATGACAAGGCCGAGCGCGGCGCCCTCCTGCGCACCCTCGCCACCTCGACGCCCAAGCGCGTCGCCTGGAGAGACTTCCGCGCCTGGACCGTGTCCGAGGGTGCAGAGTGGGTGCCCAGCGGCAACGGCGACGTCGCTGATGCGGCAGCGGCAGCGACGGCGACGGCGACGACCTCTGCGTCCAATGGCGGCGGCACCGACATGATCGCAGAGCCGCGCGGCACGCTCAAGGTGCAGGGGTGGGTCCGCGGAGCTCCCCTCAGCGCCAACCGGCTCGTCCACATCCCCGACTTTGGCGACTTCGAGGTCGAGAGGATCGCCTACGCCCCGCCGCCGAACGCACGCACGCGGAGGACCAAGTCGAGCGCCGTCAACAGCAAGAAGAAGGCCAAGCAGCAACAGCAGCAACAGCAGCAAAACGGCAGCAGCGCGGCGGCGGTGGCGGCGGCATCGGACGACATGGCCGATGCCGACATGGCCGACGAGACCGACGCCGTGTCGACGGCAGGGACCGAGGCGGCGCTCGTGGCGGGCGACGTGCTCGACGAGCGCGACACCGACTACGCCGACGACCTCGTGAGCGAAAACGAGGCCGACGACATGGAAAACGAGCAGACCTGGCCGACCGAGGAGGAGATGGCGGCGGGCGAGGCGTTTGCGCAGCAGGCGGCCAACGGCGAGATGCCGCCGCCCCCGGCGCTGCCCGGCACCACGCCCAAGGCGATTCAGAAAAAGGGAGGCGCCAAGGACGCCGCCGACGACCCCAAGTTCCGCGCCGCCTGGATCATCGAGAGCGATGGCGAGTCGGACCTCAGCGGCGACGATGATGACGACGACGACGACGACGACGACATGGTGGACGGCAGCGGCGACGAGGCGGTCAACGAGGCCGTCGACGACTACGAGGCGGCCAAGGCGGCGATGATGGCGAATGCGGCGGGCGGCTCGTCGAGCGCAATGGCGTCGGACGCCATGTCCGAGATGCCGTTCGAGGACCTCGACGACGAAGAGGCCGAGGCCGAGTACCAGGCGTACCAGGAGCAGCGCAAAAAGGAGCGCGACGCGCGCGACGACGCCGAGTTCCCCGACGAGGTCGACACGCCCGGCGACGTGCCGGCGCGGACGCGCTTCGCGCGGTATCGCGGCCTCAAGTCGTTCCGCACGAGCCCGTGGGACCCGTACGAGGACCTGCCGCGCGACTATGCGCGCATCTTCCAGTTTGACGACTTCCACAAGACGCGGAGGCGCGTCGAGGCGAGCGCGCTCCTCGACGGCGTCGAGCCGGGCTTCCGCGTCGAGGTGTGGATCCGCGACGTGCCGCGCTCGGCCGCCCTGCGCGCCCGGGCCAAGGGGCTCGAGGCCGAGCTGGCGGCCGCGGCGACGGCGACGGCGACAACAAACGGCAAGGCGGGTGTGGTGCCGTTTGTTCTGTTCGGCCTGCTGCGCCACGAGCACAAGAAGTCGGTCATCAATTTCACCGTCACGAGAAACACCGAGTACGAGGAGCCGGTCAAGTCCAAGGACAGCCTGGTGCTGTGCCTGGGTCCGCGGCGGCTGCGGGTCAACCCGATTTTCTCACAGCACACGCGCGGCGGCGGCAAGGGCGTCAACAATGTGCACAAGTTTGAGCGCTTCCTGCGCCACGGCGTGTCGGCCTCGGTGGGCACCGTGTACGGGCCGATTACGTTTGGCGGTTCGACGGCGCCGGCCGTGCTGCTGCGGGAGCGCGTCGAGGATGGCGAGACGGGGTGGGACCAGCGCGGCGTGGGGGCGCGCCAGATGCCGCATCTGGTCGGGTTCGGCAACCTGATCGATGCCGGACCGACGCGGATCAACGCCAAGCGCATTGTGCTGTCGGGCCACCCGTACAAGGTGCACAAGAAGACGGCGACGATCCGCTTCATGTTCTTCAACCCGGAGGACGTGCACTACTTTGCGCCCATTGCCCTTTCGACCAAGCTGGGCAGGACGGGCCATATTGTCGAGAGCCTCGGAACCCATGGATACTTCAAGGCGCACTTTGACGGCCCCATTTCGCAGATGGACACCATCCTCCTCACCCTCTACAAGCGCGTCTTCCCCAAGTGGGCCCGCCCCTACCGCGACAGCCAGGACGAGATGCCCGTGCCCGTCGACGAGGTCGAGAGGCTACAGGCCCTCCGCGACACCGACGCCGATGCGATGGAGGCCTAGCTCTGGCCTCGCATGTACATACATACACACATCTCCACCGAGTCTCGCCCTCCGTTGCTCATCGTTTCGGCCTGCCATCGCATCATACCTTTTCCTCTTCACATCGACCTGGAGATCCCATACCCGCGTGTACTGTGTCTCTGAGCGTGGAGAGCACGATGAACGGAGGTCGACGACATCGCGTCGGTCGCAATGTCACCCGACAGACAGCTATGCATTTTGACTCAAGATATACAATGTTTGGGCCGTCGAACATCAAGGAGCTTTGTGGCGCAGTCGGACTAGCGCGTTGGGCTCATATCACCTTTCCACTTCGAAGCGATGCGGGTTACCCAAAGGTCGTCGGATCGAGACCGACCGAAGCTACTTCTTTTGCCGTTGTTTTTGGCGGTCGGCCTCCTTCTTTCGCTGTGCGGGGCTGCCTGGTCAGTCAGTACTGGACCCCGCTCTCGGACGCCTTCGCTGCTGGCATGGTGGTGGGGTGGCATTTCAATCGAGGGACGCTGTGGACGGAAGCAGCTCGTACTCCGCATCGTCGGTGCGCTTGCGGACGACCCCGCCGCCCCCGCCGCCGCCACTCGTGCGGGTGCTGCCGCCGGTGATGGGGATGCCAGTTCTACACCGTGTCGAGGCTAGAAAGGCGACGAGGGATAGGGAGAGGCAGAGTAAGAGGGTATAGACCAGATCGCGGGTGGACGAGTTCATGATCCATGGTCGATAGCTGCCGAGGAGGGGAAGGGGAAGAGAGAGGGGGGAGCGAATGAGCATCACACCGTCTTCCCTCGTCGGCAGTATCGGCGGAGGCCGGAGGTGTCCGTACCTGATGAAGAGGTCCGAGGACCGGGATAGGTCCCACTCGCTCAGTAGAGACGGCGGCGCAGAGCCCCATGGTTGCTGCTGTGCCTCGCCGTCGCGGTCGCGGTCGAGGAGGAGCAGGCGTTGCGCTACATCCCGTCGTACCTGGTCCAGGCACCCGCTCGGGTTCGTGGACGCCCTGCAGAGCGATGCCATCCTTTTCCCAGCTTCAGCAGGGCAGGGCGTCGATGTGCTCGCAATCGAGTCCACGAAAGAGTCGCAGTAGACGAGGACCCACGACTGTCGTGGAGGATTAGGTGGAAGGGGAAGAGAAGAACAGCCTTGTTTCGGAGAAAGAGCGGAGAAAAGGCAAGAGAGAATCCCGGCGGCCCGACAGAACATGGCACAGCCATTCGGGGACGCGCTGTGCGACAGACTCGGCAACGGCAACGGTGCCATCGTTCTCCCATTTTTCTACCGAGCTCTGTAACGTCGACGTTTTGCTAAAGCAGCCAAGCAGTCGGTCAAGCTACACAAGCCGCGCGCTTAAGAAGGCGACTGAAATGCGGCGATCGCGCCCAGTCACGTCGAGAGACTCCCCACGGCCACCTGCCCTTCGCCGGGCGAGTTCACTCCGTTCGAGAGAGCACCTCTCGCACCGTGGGCGGGATGGACGCCTCGTCGGTGTCCCGGTAGAGGCGTGCCAGCGCAGACCTGATCTTGGCCCTGCCGAGCCTGTCCTTGACGTCGGAATCGTACCGGGCGGCGACATCGCCCTCGATGCCCTTGCGGATCCCTCCCCATCCGACGGGCACTTCTTCGAGGTAGAATACCTGCTTGAACACGGGATCGACATCCTCTGAGGGCAGCGAGAGACACCTCATTGCCTCTTCGGGGGATATGTGCGTCCGAGGACCGTCGGCGACCCAGGGCGCCATCTTACACGCCAGATCCTTTGCCGTCGCAGCGGCGGGATGAAGAAAGAGCGCCGCAGCCAGGAAGACGATGAAGGGAGTCGTAGCGAGCATGGCGGACGAGTGCTGCTCGATGAAGCAGCTAGACTTGTTGATGTTGCATGTACGTGCCCACCAAGCCGGCGACCGGGTGAGGTGATGGAAGATGGCAAGGCAGATCGCTCGAGTCTTTGACCCTTAGCAAGATGGCGCATGGCGTGGATTCACAGCGGACGATCGTGGTCCAAGCGCGTTTGTCGTGTGGAAATCTCGCACGAAACATCGGGACGGTGTGGACCGTCCACTTTCGGATGGATCAGGGCGTGTTGCTCACGACCACACGCTTACCGGTGCCTTCTCGCGCACCGTGATGATGATTGCAGCGAGCCGGCTGGTCGTGCTGCTCATTGCAGCCCTCCTGACGTCCTTCGGCATTCATCTCGCCCGTACGCTACCGGTCTATCGTTTCTACCTGCCCGAGTGAGTCACGCATCTCGCGGTACAAGCCGCGCTGTTCTAACATGTGTGTCTGACCTCGTCCCGTCCCGCAGAGCGCCGATAGCACTGGCGCACGTCGAGCCATCATTCCCGGACTCGAGACCCATCGGTGGCGCCGTGCCTCTCGACCAACGATGCACGCTCTACGACCGCCTCCCCGCTCCGCGTCGCCTGCCCGCCACCTCGCCAGGATTCCGAGCGGCGATAGGCTCCTTCGAATCGATCGGGTCAGACGCGCACCAGTGTCGGACGTACCGCGATCGGTTCGCCGCGTACACCGACGAGGCGCTCGGCATCGACTACTTCAAGACGGCCCAGGATCGGCTCGGGCTGCCGCAGCACGGGCGCGGCGAGCGGTCAGAGGCGTGGTACCGCGATCGGCTGTGGTACGCCAACCTGCTCGCTGAATCCGACCAGGACAGGCCCAGGCGCTCGTACATCGATTGGGCCGAGACGGTCCGGGCGTGTACCGCCGACGGCGACGGGCCGAGGCGAGGAAAGATGGCCTTCGTTCTTCGCTCCTACCAGGGCTTCGTATGGGTAGGTGCTCTTCGCTGCGAAGCGAGGTCCGGAATCGGTAGCTCGCCAGTCGGCTGCTCAGCAACCCATCCGACTGACCCCGCCTTGGCCCCCCGTCCTCGTCATCCGCAGACCGAAGACGCCATCCTCAACGTCCGCGCCCTCATCTCGGAACTCTCGCTGCGCTCCCGATCCAGGACTACGAGGCAGGGGCCGGGGCCGTCGCAGCGGCCGGGACAGAAGGTCGACATCCACATCCTGGTCGAGATCAAGGACGCACGGTCCGCCGGGGCGCTCACGTCCGACGCGGCGCGGCGCAAGGTGCTCCGTTCAAGCGTGCCCATCGAGTTCTGGTCCCTCGCCACGCTGTGGAGCGAGGCCGAGATGGTGCAGCACTACCCGGACCTCGCCGGCGACTTTCGCGACGGCATCTCGGCCCAGTCGTCGTACCGCGGCTGCACGATGGCCCTCCAGGTGTTTGCGAGGCGGCACAGGGAGTACGACCGCTTGGTCAACTGGGAGATGGACACGCGCTTCACCGGCGATTACGCCCGGTTGCTCGAGAGCGTGCAGGGTGAGTCGAGTCGGGTCGAGTCGTGCGTGGCGCGGGGTGAAGAGGGGGGGAGCAGCGACTGACGACTTTCCCGCGCCGTCTTGATGGGATCTGCAGCGTTTGCCTTCGAGCAAGAGGGCTACGACCCCACCGTCGACGACACCTACACACGGTGGAACGTCTCTGGTCTGCAGCGCCGGGGGCAGGCATCGCGGTCGGCCGCCTCCGAGGCGACCTCGGACCGCTGCGAGCGAAGGCAAGCCGACCTGATCACCTTCACGCCGCTCTTTGACCCCCGCGGATCCGGGTGGTACTGGGAGTACGACATCCAGAGTTCGTAGGACGGCAGCCTCTTGATCCGCTGTGCATCGCCGCGAGGGCAGGCTGATTTCTCGTCTGACCATCTTCTCGGCTTTTCTCTGGCCTCGCCTCGCCTCGCTTCGGCAACAGACTACCGCGGTGGCGTCTCGACACCCCGCGCGGCGTCGGTGGGTACGAACATGGTGCTGAGTCGACGCCTGCTCGATGCCATGGACTATACGAACCGCGAGCGGGCGCGGTCCCTCTTCTGCGAGGCGTACGCACCCACCGTCGCACTGCACTCGCTCCTCGCCCTGTCCAGGACTGCACGTAGGCAAGGACGGCTGGACGAGTCGGTGGAACGCGACTACCGTACCATGGCATCGATTTGGAACTCGACGGCAACGCCATCGCCCACCGCCGCTGCCGACGACGACGACGACGACGACGACGACGGGGCAGGACGACAGTGCCACTACCTCAAGGCCGTCTCGGTGCCGCATCCGATCCTGTTTCGGTACGACGCGAGCGCGGAGCGGGTCGAGGGATGGATCAATCCGATTCGGCAGCCCTACTCGAAACGCCACGAGTCGGCGCTGCGCGACACCAGCTTCTACTATACCTCGTCGGTCGCGGCGTCTCTATACCGCGAGTGGGCGCGCGGCGGCGACGAGGGCGACGGCGACGGCGAGGGCGAGGGATGTGCCCCCCACCTCTTGCTCCATCCCGTCAAGGGTGAGTTTGCGGATTGAGTAGATCGAGGCTGAGCCGGGATGGTCGGGACTCGGGAGGTGAATGGACCGGGCAGCGCAATACATTCGTCGGCGCCGGCGTCGGAGCAACGAGGTGACGTGTGACGTCTGTCGGCGGACCGACCAAGCCCTGACTTTTGACCGCGTGGACCCTGGCTTGCTGTCCGTGGTCGCTGCCCTCGCTGCCCCCTTTCTCCCCGTCGTGGCTCCTTGGTCATCATCTCCTTGCGCTCGCTGCGTCTTGGCCTCGCTCTCCCATGGCCGCCATCTCTCGCCACATGACATCCAAAGCGCTGGCTTGCGGGCCAAAGCCGAGTTCGAACAGGGCGCAGAGGTCGGAGCGCTAAAGGGGGACGGCAGACGAGAGGGGGCAGGGGACAAGGCATGACGCGAGTTTAGAACCGGCACACCCCACGAGGCGAGGCGAGGGCCGCCATCTCATCTGTGGAATGTGGCCCTCCTCGAGCGGCAGCCAGGCAATGCAAGGCGAGCGAGGCCGGCAGAGAGCAGAGGCCGGCCCTACATGACAGAGCAGGCCGCCCCTCCCCCCGGGCCAGCATGCCGCGCCGGATCCACCAGTTCCAGACTCTGTCTTGCTCGCCCAGCGACCATCTCGCTGTCTTGCCCTCGAAAGAAGCATCGTCGGTTCGATCCTGCCTCTGTCGCTGTCGCTGTAGGACGGTGAGAATCCAGTGAGAGGGCCGCACAGTACGCGTTGTCTTAGCAGGACATCATCCTACATTCGCTCCTTTGGTGACTGCTCCCCGCTCTCTCCAGCGCTCTCACAGACTCATCCTGCCCTCGCTCCGCACACCTTATCCTCCTCGCTTGGCTACCGCTACCCTACCCGCCGTCGCTTGCTGCCTTGCCTTGCCTCGCCTTGCACTCCGACCCGTATCCGGCCCAACATCCGACCTTAGGTCATCGACGGCACCTGAGCCAGCGTCGCCCCTCTCTTGCCAGCACAACAACAAGGAGATCAAGAAGGACGAGGAGATGGAGACGATCCACGAAGTCGTCCCCCTCTTTCCCCGCCGCTCCGCCTCACTACGACCACACCATACCCTCGCACCGCTTCCTGCCTCTCCATCCTCCCCTACACCACGCTCTTCCTCCTCGAACCGTCCGGCCACGGCCAACCCGAGCATTGGCGGCGGCAGCAGCAGCCTCGTCGGAACCACAGCGAGGGACAAGTCGTATCGCAAACGAGTTCCACCCCCTCTCGCCCTCGTGCAGGCGACGGCTTCGCCAAGTGTGGATCCATCTTCGCCCGTCTCGCCGACCACTGCGAGCTCGAGCAGGACGGCGTTGAGATCGAGCCTCGAGCAGCAGCCGCGCAGCGTGACCGCGGGGCCATTCTCGCTCCATCCCTCGTATACGCGCACTCGTCGATCCAGCCTCTCGCCCACCTCGGCGCGCCCCATCCACCACCACCACCACCACCACCAACACGCCATCGCGATCGGCGTCGACGAGTACGGACGTCGAGGCTCGGCATCCTCTTCCACCTCGGACTCGACCGCCTCTTCCTCGGCCTCATCAGCCACGATCCACGCCGGCACGACAATGGTGGAAGACCGACGCGGAAGCGATGGCAGCGCCGCCAGTACGGCGCACAGCATCGGCGGCGGCAGCGTCGACGAGACCAAGGCGTGGGACGGTACTGCATCGACAGCGCCGACGACCTCGGCGATCACCACGTCCAAGGGCTACGTGACGAGTACATCGTCGTTTTGCGGGACACCCGACATCTATGGCTACCACACCACGACGCGGGCCCGCGAGGCAAAGGTCCACGTCCTAAACGTCCCCACGGCCGTCTCGTTTGTCCCGACCGACCAGCCTCAGACGGCCATCAGCATCACAGAGGATCGTATCGTGATCGACACCATCTACCCTCCCACGCTCTCATCCTGCTCCGACCACGATGGCGGCGCCGACGACCAAGAGGGAGGAGCAGGAGCGATGAGGGCCGGCGATGGCGGGCCAGCGGCGACGGGTGCAAAGAGGAACCTGCGAGGGGACAAGAGGAGAACAGCAGCGGCCGATACGATCCACATGCTTCGGGACCACGAGGCGAGCCTGCTCCTCGCCCTCGAACAGGTCAAGACGCTGCACGTCGGATCCACCATCGAGGACGAAATCGAGCTGACCGTGAGGGGCACCACCGTCTTCCCGCCTCCGCTCGTCGGTGCGCGCATGGGCGCCAAAGCGACGTCGTCGACGGCGACGGAAGGCCAGGCCGACTGTCCGTGCATCTGCTGCAGCGTTGGCTGTACGGCCCCGCACTTTGCCTCGACGCCACAGGCGGGCATCGAGACGCGGCTCGCACCGCTACCGGCGCCGCTGCCGCTGGCGGGATCGCATTCGTCGTCGTCGACGACAACGGCTTCTTCGATGCCGCCCACGCCGACGACGCCGTACCACCGCGGCGTCGAGGCGGGCGAGGTGCTGCCTCCGATCTTTGATCTGCACCACCACGTCGACCCATCGTGCGACCCGGATCCGTACGAGGTCAAGGGCCCCGTCGTGTCGAGGTCCGTCCGTGTCGATCCGGTCGAGACGACGCGCATCTCTTCGATCAACGACCCGACACGCTGCCCGGACACGTCGCACCTCGTCGCTGGTCAGCTGGCTTCCAACGCCGTCGTCCCGCCGCCGCGCAGGAGCTCGAAGCTGTACGCCGTCGGCGCCAGGAGGGGGGCGAGGAGCAGCGGCAACCTCCCCGCCACGGCTGCCACCGCTGCCACCTCGCCCTCGTCCCCTACGTTTGCGTCGAGGTACAACGGCACCCCGACACGCGGCATCAGCGCAAACGAGGGCGTGATCCAGCCCAGGTCAGGGCGGAGGAGCCTCGACTCGTCCCTCGCTGCGCGCCCGCCCGTCGAGACCGCCCCGCCTCTGCCCGCATCCCGCTCCGCCCTCGTCCAAGGCTCCGCCACCGATCGCGGCGAAAAGCAGGCTGCGGTCTCGGTGCTTCCTCGTCCTCCTCTTCCTCCGCTGCCCGCCAGCGAGCGGGAGCAGCTCGATAGGCAGCAGCCCAGGCTACGCAAGAAGGAGTCGACTCTATCACGGCTGCGCAGGTCCCTCAGCACCACCATTCGCAGGAAGAGGGCCTCCAGCGGCGCTCCCGACGCCATCGATGGCCACGAGGGCAACCTCGCACCACCGGCTGCTTCTCACCCAAATGAGTTTGGCGCCGTACGAGCTCAGTGACGAGCACACTCCCACCATGCACGTCCTCGGTGGACGAAGCGGTGGACGAGGCTGAGGACGAGGCGGAGCTGGTTGTACGAGGAAGCTTGGATTCGCTGATGTAGGAAACAAGACGGAGCGCCGAGAGACAAAGACTAGAGGGCCTGTGTAGCAGGCAAGAGCGGGCCTCTCGTCTTGATGGAAGCGGCAACGGGCGATAGCGGCCCTGTTTTTTCGTGCGTGAGTGCGTGACTGGAAGACCATCGAGGCGCGACGACAGAGACAGAGGGAGACGTGGAAAAAGGCAGACGGGGAGACGGGGGAAAGACAACGAGACGGTCCATCGGTAATGCTTGATGTTTGTGTGTTCGAGACGAAGGGCGTGACGCAGGCGGGACGGGACAGGCGGCGGGGGGGCCTTGCCTCTAGGCATCGTCGGCGCCGCCGTACTTGGGGACCCACATCTCGCCCTGGACCCAGGTGCGCAGCTGGTCCTCGTCCATGCTGGCCGTGTAGCCGCCGTCGTTTGCGACCTTTTGCTTGTTGGCCATCTGGATGCAGCGGACGGCAATGTCGCGGCTGATTTCGCGGATGCGGTCCGTCTTGGGGTAGAGGCGCCCCTCGTCGCGCTCGGCCTGGGTGAGGGCGTCGGAGAGGGCGAGGGCGCTCTCGGTGACGATCTCGTTGGTGATGCGCGAGGCCTTGCAGAGCGCGGCGCACAGGCCGATGCCGGGGAAGACGAGGAAGTTGTTGCCCTGGCCCGGGATCAGCCGCTTGCCCGTCGGCGACTGCGACGCGTCAATCTCGGGGAACGGCGACCCGGCGGCAAAGAGGACGCGGCCCTCGGTGAAGCGCACCGCCTCCTCGTAGGTGCACTCGCTGTTGTCGGTCGGGTTCGACAGCGGGAAGATGATGGGGCGCTTGTTCATGTCGGCCACCTTGCGGATCACGGTCTCGTCAAACGTGCCGCGCACCGTCGACAGGCCGACGAGCGCCGTCGGCTTGACGTAGTCGACGGCGTCGGCGAGCGACTTGAACTGCTTGCCCTCGTTGTCGGTGCGCGCAAAGTAGACCTTGTGATCCGGCAGCTTGTCGCCGCGATCCCGGGTGACGAGGCCCTTGGAGTCAAAGATCCACACGCGCTCCCGCGCCTCGTCCTCGGTCAGGCCCTGGCGCATAAAGAAGCTGAGCAGCTGCTTGCCCACGCCGACGGCCGCCGAGCCGGCGCCCGCCATGAGGATCCGCTGGTCCCACAGCGGCTTGCCGCTCTCCTTGGCCGCGATCCGCGCCGCGTTGGTGAAGCCGGCCAGGATGACGCTGCCGGTGCCCTGGATGTCGTCGTTGAACATGGGGTACTTGTTCTGGTAGCGTTCGAGGAACATGAAGGCGTTCTCCGAGGTGAAGTCCTCAAACTGGATGATGAGGTTGGGGTACTTGGCGTGCAGCGCCTCCATGACCTCGTCGAGGAACTCGACGTACTCGTCGGTGCCCGGCCGCTCGCGTCGGAGGCCGAGGTAGAGCGGGTCCTCGAGGTTCTTTTTGTTGTTGGTGCCCAGGTCGACGACAATGGGCACCGTGGCGCGAGGGTGGATGCCGGCGCCGGCGACGTAGAGCGAGAGCTTGCCAATCGAGATGCCCTGGCCGTTCCAGCCGAGGTCGCCGAGGCCAAGGATGCGGGAGCCGTCGGTGATGACGGCGATGCGGGGCGCGCCCGAGGGGACGGGCCAGTTGTCGACCAGCTCAGCCACCCGGCCCTTGTCCTCGAGCGAGATCGAAAGGCCTTCGGGACGGCGGTAGATTTCCGAGAACTGCGGGGTGATGGGAAGAAGGAGACCTTGGTCAGCGATCCGTGCTGGTGCCGGTGCTCGTGGTCTAGCCCTCGCGACCGAAGAGGGTCCAAAGGTCCGCCAGCCGGGCCACGGCTCACCTTCTGGCACGCCTCGCCGACGGTGGGCGTGTAGATCAGGGGGAGGCACTCTTCCATGTGCTCCATGACGAGGGCGTAGAAGAGCCTCGTATTCGTCTGGCGCAGGCTGGCGAGGAAGACGTACTTCTCGAGCGGGGTCGACTTGTTGCGGAGCTGCTTGGTGACGCGGAGCAGCTGGACGCTGAGGCTCTGGCGCGCCGGGGGCAGGAGACCGCGGAGGCCGAGCTGGTCGCGCTTGTCATACGAGAAGGCGGTGTCTTTGTTGGCGAAGGGGTCGGCGTAGATGAGGTCAGCGTTGGTCGCTTCGCGGCGTGCAGAGGAGCTGGCAAAGGAGCGTGCGGACGGCGGCGACGACGCCGAAGAATGGGGTGGCGGGAAGACCGAGGGCCCGGCGACGGCACCGACCCTGGCACCACCCTGGCGGCTCGCCGCGGCTGCCCGACGGGCTGTCCAAGGTAGCACCGAGGCGAACATGGTGGGCGCCGGCGACAAGAGCGAAGAGCGAAGAGCGGAAGTATGCAGCAGCGTCGGAGCGGAACGGAACGGAGACGACGAGGAGCAGCAAGCAGCAACGGCGAGCAACGAGCGGGGCGGAGGCGGGGCGAGGGCGACAAAGAAAGTGGCACGAGGAGTGTCGAGAGAGAGGGAGAGGGTGTGGACGTGGACGTGGAGGTAGACGGTGACGGTGACGGGGAGAGGGGGGGGCGTAGGAGAGAGGAAGACACCGACAAGGCACCGGTCCAAGGTGAAATGGGGCCCGGACGCCCTTCTCCAGATGGACGGGATGGATGGATCGACGGGCCACACGAGTCACCGCACGGTTGCTCTGAGAAGAAGCAGGTAGGCAAGCAAGTGGAGAGGACGCACCGCGGCGGCGCCCCGGCCAATTTGGGCCAGCTGCCCGCCTCCACGGCTTCACCCGAAGTCCCAACAATTTCCGGGTCCCGCGTCGGGCTGGGGGGAGGAACAAACCTGGACGGCCCGCTCCGCCCCCAAACGTTGCTGTTCTGCGTCGCTCTATCTGAGCTCGCCCGCCAGATGCCAGGATGCGACTGCAGCATGCTTGGGCAGGGCCTGAGCCTGCGCCTGTGCGTCTCTCGACACCAAGGCATCGAGGGGCAAAGCTGCGAGAGCGGGGGATGCTCGGAGGGACACGGAAGCAGGATGCCATGCCGTGCCGTCCGTTGCAGCCTCGACGGCGAGATGCCAGCAAAGCTGAGGGAGCGGTCCGCCAGCGCTGCCTCGTCCAAGCCAACCCGACTCGAAGCAAGCAACGACGCTGCGTTGCCGGTGCCATCGAATCACGGCGCACGAAGCTCGTCTCGTCGTACGTACGACGATGGTACAGTAAAGCCCCGCGCTCGCCGGAGCAGAACGGGGCCTACGTCGCCGCATTTGCCATGCCGAACACGGCTCGAGTGGGGAAAGAGGCGTCGGAAACAAGGCGAGCCTAAACCCAGCGGACCGCCGCACCGGGCGGAAGCAAGCAAGCCGCCAGGCCGCCAGCAGGCTAGGGATAACCAGCCACGCTGCCTCATGCAGGCCCGCCCGAGCTCCTCCAGCTTCATGCCCCTCCACAGCGACAAATCAACGGCGCGCCAGCCAGCGCAGGCCAGAGCAACACCAAAAGGCAAGGGTTTTGCCTAGGGAAGGGGCGTCGCCGGACCGGCCGCCGACAAGACGCTGCTGTCCTCGCTCTCTGCTGCTGCGCCGCGCGAAGAAGCCCAAGAAGTGGTGCAAAGCACCACCGCCCAGCCTGGCTGCCGGCCTGCCTGCAAGCTATCGCTCCGTAGCCGCCGGTATCTAAGCCTGGCCGGGAACCCTAGCAACGAGCGGAAGGAACCGGAAGGAAAGCTTCACCGGCGAACAGGCCTGACATGGCAGGTTGGCCAGCGGGAAACTCTGCGCTGCCGTGTTGGCCGAGCATTGCCACGAACCAACGACGCCGACGAGGCAGCGGGACGGAGGGCCAAGCTGGTTCTAGAGTCGCTGCGGACGCCGCCGGAGAACAGAGCAAGAAGCAGACGGCCGACGCCAGGCAGGAAAAGCGCTGAAGCCCAACTCACCCTGGTTTGTGAAGACGTCGCGAAGGTTGGCGGCGCCGCCGTAGGGGTGCTTGGCAATGGCGAGGTGGAGGTTGTCCTCGCGCGGGTCGTCGCTGGTCTTGTGGTCGGGCGTGGGCTGCGGAGGCTTGATGTGGGTGCCATTGGCCGTCGTCACCGCCGCCTTGGAGGGCGTGGTGGGTGCGGCGGCGGCGTAGGTGGTCTTGGGGCCGTCGGCAACGGGAGGCGTCATGATGGTAGCGGCTAGCAAAAGAGGTGCTGAGCGGAAGAGGCGACGAGGCGTGGACGAGACGGAGAGCACGACCCGGAACAGATGATAGCTCGGGGCGAGGAAGGTGGAGCGGTGGTGGTGGTGGTGGTGGTAGCGAGCAGCCACGGCAACGGCGGTGGAGGAGGAAGGATGAGAGGGGACAGAAGGCGATGCAGGCAAGGCGCAGAGGCGGGCAGAGAGGCCTTATATCCATTATGCCGGAAGCTGCCGGATGGCCCTGCCAGGATGGACGCCTCGACCACGTCGGCTGGCCCGCGATACACGCCGACAGGTCGACCTAGCCTGGCGGTGCTCGAACAGCGAAGCGCAACCAGGGGCCAACACCGCAGCGCAGATGCCGGCCGCCCCCCGCCCCCCCGCTGCGGACGGAGGCAGGCGTTGCAGCTGCCCTGGAGGCCAGCGACAACGTACCGCAGCGCAGCGCTGCGATGTCATCACATCGGGTGGGCTCGTCAGGCGAAGCACCCGCACGCCTTCGTACAAGGTCAAGTCAAGTTTGCATCGTCACCCTGAATCTCCCGAAGGCAGGAGAGCTGCTGCACCTGAGATGAAATGTGGGGAAGCGCAAAGGCCCAGAGGCCAGCGGAGCGCAAGGACCGCGGTGAGGTTGAGGTCGAGGACGAGGACGAGGACGACGGCGAAGATGACCCTCGTAGAAGGTAGGGTGAGGGGGCAGGGGCGTTGCACCCAAGAACCGGGGCCTGGGTGCGTCGTGCGTCAGTCTAGAGAGAGGCAGGCAAGGCGCCTTGCACCTGACACCCTCCCCAACGGCGCGGCAGCCAACCAGAGGGTCCCACGCCGGCCTCCCACTCGGCTTGTTCCGGAATCTTCCACGAAATACACTCTGGTACTGTATGGGGTCGACCCGGCGACAAGCGCCCCCAACATCCAGCCCCTTCGTCGTGTCGGCCCTCCTTGGCTGCGCTGGCAGACGACGAGGGAATTCGCCGCGCCGCGGCGAGCTGGCCGGCAGGCTTCAATCAACGCCGAGAGCGAGCGAGTCGGTCAGTCGCCGACCCGTCGAAGACGGACGGAGTGACCCGATCGTGCGTGTGTGAAGGAGCAGGCCGGGTGGGGGGCGGGGCAGCGAGCGAGGCCAGACAGGTGAGCCTACTGCGTTCGGAAGCGGACCGGGTCCGTACAGCGAGAACAGCACCAGGGCCAGGACCTTGTCGAGGCTTGGGGCCCCCCAAGTCGGGCGGGCGGCTGGGAAAAATGTCATCTCATGACTCGACCGTGCACCAGCCCCTCGGGCTGATCATATGGCAGGCAAGCCTTACAGTATGGGCGCCAGATCTTTGGGCGGGACGTGCGCGCCGGGGATGGGGTTCGCCCCAGCTCGCAGCGTGTTGGCAGGCGGAAGGGGTCCGACAGCACGAGCCAAGCAACCCGCAGATGGACGTGCGGTCGGGGGCCTCGGGGGGGGCGTCACGCTTGGTCCCGTCCCGCGCGCTTTCCTGGCTCGTGGACGTGGTGCCAACAACGGACAGGCGGGTCGCGACCGGGTAGGACTCGCAGGGTGGGCGGGTGGGCAGGGCTGCAAAGCTCGATCCGATGTCGTTTCTGGATGGCGCAAAAGCACGACGAGTCACATACATGGAGCAAGCAACTAACGTCCGGGCCCACCGGCTACGGCAACAGAGGGACGGGTCAACGGCGAAGATCCAGAGGTGGTGGTGGTGGTGGCGGTGGTGGTGTGTGGCAGGTCAGGTCGTGAAAGGAAGGGTCGGGACCGGGAGCGACCGGGCATGTCGATTCGGCTTTGCTTTCACGGACGCGAGACGCGGTGCTGCTGCTGTCGCCGTCGCGCCAGGCAAGTCTCGTCTCATTCCATCGTCGCCGCGGGCTGCCTGACCTGTCCTCGAAGCGATGGCGTCGAAGCGGCGGGGAGTCGAGTCGCTGTGCGATCGTCGGATCTCCATCTTTCGGACCTCGGTAGCAAGGAAGCGTGACCTCGAGATTGACGCCTCGAGGCCCAAAAGAGAAGGTCGCCTGGTGGTCACGGGGGCATCACATCGACCAGCACCTTTCACGATGAAGGCCAAGGGTGGATGGCAGTACGGAGTCGTCCTAGTAGAAGCAGTAGCAGTAGTCGAAGGGCGATGGCGATCCGGCCGACACGGTCGCCTTCGATACGATCAGAGAGGGATTGGGGTTGAGCAGATCTCGGTGCCGTGCGGCGCGATAAGGGGAGATGGAGGCCCCCAGTTGCCCCGGACTCGGCGGCCTGGCACCATCATGCGTGCCACCACCACCTGCCTGCTCCGTATTATGCCGGAAGCGACGAGGCAGGCTTCTACGCATCGAACACGGATGACCCCACGTGCAAGAGCGGAAGGGGTGCTCCGACGAGGGCGTACAGCAGGCAGCAGGCTAAGGGTACCGGCGTAGAGCATCCAGGCAGCGCATCCACGAGCGCCAGACGAGTGCGGGGCCCCGCTGTCGATCCCGGAAAGCTCGTGGCGTGGCGTGGCATGCTGTGGTTTCGGACTCGTCGGCGGTGACGGCCAAGGCGAGCGACGATCCCGACCGACCGGGAAGCGAGGAGAGCGCGGGGGGGAGGTGGCGTCGCGGCGATGGATAAGATTGCGGCAGCCGCGGAAAAGGACCGCCAAGGGCCGCTCGGCGTGGAGCTGGCGGCTTTATCTCGCGCCGTGCTTGGCTCTGGCCTTCGCTGCAGAGTTCGGAAGTCGGGCAGGAGAGAGAGCTTTTTGCCTTGGCCTCCACACTTGAATCTCGCTGCCTTCGCCTCGACACCTCTGCCCAGGCTCTCGGCCCTATCGAAGACGACGACGACAACGACAACCATGGCGAGCACCGACCATCCGTCACCAGCTGCAGGCAACGCAAGCTCGACCACACCGGGTGGACACCAGCTGTCCGTCGACGAACGGATCGCGAAAGCGGCGGAACTCAAGGCCGAGGGCAACGCCCGCTTTGCCGCCGACGACCTCGACGCGGCGCTCAAGGCGTGGCATCATGTACGTTGACCCAACGTCCCGTCCTCGTCCACTTTGCAACGTCAGTCGCTGATTAGCTCCACACTTGCGGATGTGGATGCTAGGCCCTGCTCTATTCCGCGGGCATCAACAGCTTTTCGACGCTCTACGGCTCCCGGTCCACCGACGAGCAGAACAGAAAAGCCGAGGAAATCACCAGGGCCGTGTGGAACAACATGGCCGGTGCGTCGCAGTCTCAGGCCGTGCCGTGCCGAACAGTCGGTCTCCTCTGATCGCACAGCTGACACGATCCTTCGGACGTTCTCGCGCAGCGTGCTACCTCCGTCGTGAGCAGTGGGACAAGGCCGTTTTGGTCACGACAAAGGTACGTGCGTTCCTCCCTCGCAGCCACGACAGCCCTCTCGATCTGCTACAACCCTCTCAGCACCGTCCCATACGGTATACCCCTCGTGTCCACCTCGACTCCTCTTCTTCTCGCCATCTTCAGGTCCTCAACTCGGATCCAAAGAACCTAAAGGCCCTCTACCGCCGCACCCAGGCCCACCTCGCCCTCGGATCTACCCAGAACGCAGCCAAGGACCTCGACGTGGCGCTCGACAAGTCGCCAAACGGTGCGTGCCCGCCGTCGCGTTGCCGCCACTGCAGCAAGACTGTCCCGGCTGACGCTGCCTCCCTCGCCCCTTTTGCCCCGCGCGTCCCGGCCTCACAGATCCCGCGGTGCGAAAGCTGGCCGAGGAGCTTGTCAAGCTCGTGGAGAAGAATGAGGCGGAACAGTCGGCTGCGACGACGGAAGCGACCATCGCCGAGATCGTCGATGATGGACCGCCATGAGCCGACTCGGAGGCGGGGCAGGAGAGCGCCAGCTCATGTCCCGAAGCGGTGCAATCGATACCACCAGCAAAGAGAAATGATCCGCGATATTGACTGCGAAATCCCGGCTGGAAATCCGCAACCAAAAAGGTCAAAAGAATAGCTTCGGTCGGTCTCGATCCGACGACCTTTGGGTGACCCACATCGCTTCGAAGTGGAAAGGTGATATGAGCCCAACGCGCTAGTCCGACTGCGCCACAAAGCTCCTTGATGAAGGGAGCACTCAGCTTTGGTTTAATCAACGCCTAGCGCAATTTTGGCCAGATGACAAGATATTTTGCGACTGCCCCCGCCTCCGACAACGACCGGCTGACCTACCCTGATCGCTCCTCCAGCTGCTCCACCACGGCCCGACATCTTCACAGGCCACCGTGACGAACTGCGCGACTTGAGGCGTCCTTCTCCCAGCAGCGCAGCACGGGAGCCGGCGGCGCATGGTGTGCAAAGCCCGTCGCGGTGAGGGGAGTGTCGGACGAAGTCGGCCGAAGACATCGACGGGCCAGGCGGCGAGGGGGTGACGTCGATCGAGCGAGCCCTTTGGCGCCCGCCTTACCCCGCTTTTGCGTTGCCCAGCACCCCAGCAAACGACGCCCGACCTGGCCATGCGGAGGGGCGGCGGCAGTTTTGGCTTTGCCGTTGTTACCGACCGCAGCGATGCCGCCGGGCCGCTGTCCGCCTGCATCTTACCCCATCCTCGCGCGGCAGCCGCTTCGGAGGTACTTGGTCGCTATGGCCGATCCACTCTGTCCCCTCGCCCGACAGAGGACGTGATGAGGGTCGAGGATCGTTTGTCGTCGTCGTCGCCCATTGCCTTCACCACCTCCGCCCCTTCTGCCAACGACGACGAACGGAACGCGACACGACCCAGACTCTTCCTGTATAGACAGGTCTGGCCTAGACGAAGGACGACATGAGCGCACGGGATGCTTCTACCAGGGACGCCAAGATACCCACACCACGACGGGCAGGCCGACACGATCCACCGACTTTCTTCGTGCCATCCACCTCCGCATCCGCACCCGCATCCGCCGCCACTCCCGACAATGCTGGACCACCGCACCCCGCTGCGCCGGCGGGCAACGACCACCGACCCACATTGAACGCAAAGGAAGCGTCTTCGCGCAGTCTCGGTCTTCGGCTGACGCGCACGCACTCGCGCAAGGACCTGTACGATGCCGATGCCGGCAGCGTCGACGGCGAGTTTGGCGCCTACGGCCACGCGTCCGAGGACCAGGCCCACGCCGGTGCGGCGCCGGTGCGCAGGATGCATTCGCGGTCGAAGTCGAAGACGCAGAGGCACGAGACGGTGCTCGAACGCATCGGCGACCTCGAAAGGGACGACGTCGAGCTGGGCGCCCACGAGGCCAGGCAGCTCGCAGAGGTGCGCGCTGGAGGGACGGGCGAGGACGAGATGGACCACGAGCGGCGACGAGTGCACACGGACGACGTCGACCTCGAGAAGCAGCCGCAGCAGCTACGGCAAAGGCGCGGTCGACGTCGCGACCCGTCGGCTCGTCGCGCTCCAGCACACCGCTCTCGCAGGACCGGCAAGGCGCCGAATCGA